GAAAAAACTACCAGGCTACACTCACCAATAACCACTCTTGTGATGTTGGAATAATGCCGCGACAGAATGTAACTGTGTAAGTCCCCAATCTACTTGTCACTCACGGCGTCCCTCGCCCTGCCTTTCTTATCAGATATCAGATGCATAGCTTCATTACATAGCCAGTATGCAGCCAGGCAAGCCAGACAATTTTGCTCCAGTTCGACGGAAAACGACAATCCAATTCCGGATACTAGATAACCCCTCAGTATCAACACTTGTTATCCTTTCCCCTTAACACCGCTCGTTCTCTTTTTGTTCTAACAATCAGTTTGTCAGGTCCGAGATGGGACCGGGGTGTTTTGTTGCTACCAGGTAGAGTTTTAAAGCCATTGCAGTTGTTGGCTCAGCACCGGAGAGAAGAGGTTGTTGACGTGGGATTCATTCTCCTGGGCCCTATTTCCAAACTCAAACTGTCATAAAGATAAAATACTCCGGCTGATGTGAATGTTGCTGGATGGAATGATGCGTTAATCAAGCAGTAACCGAGAAAGAAAAGGTCACGCTCTCTACTTGGAAGCCTTGTTACTTTTGTGATATATTATCGGGCAAGAATCCAATTTTCTGGCACATTTGATCCCAGAGGCATATGGGAGACCAATAGGACCGCTGTTTGGTTGGGCGGCAGGTGGCGCGCAGAGAACCTGAATGTAACTCTCGAATGATGGCAAGCAAGTACCCCTCCTCCATCGACAATAGAATAGAAGCCCAGGTGCGCGGACAGCTGCACAGTCATATTTGCATAGCCCCCGGTACACTCCAGCCCAAGAACCTTTTTGTTGTTTCCGTGCAAGGGTTTGCACACTTTACCTTTGAGGTGGGGTATGTATCTTTCGACTGGAAACTGGAATGCAGTCGGAGAATTTGCATCGGGTGGTGAAAGTGATAAGCCCGGCCATCGTCCTGTCACCCGCTTCCGGGGGCGATTCAACTAGAGGACCCCAGTCCATAACGCCTCGACTCCACTGATGGTTTTTGCCCTTTCTTTTGATTTAGTTTTCTTTTCTTTTTCTTTTTTCTTTTTCGTGGTTGGGGCTTCGGTTTCAGTCATTGCAAATTGTACGGAGGTAGACATCACCATTTTGGCAAAGGAGGGCATCGTTCTTGAACACTGACGTCCACTCAATCAACGACCACTAAACTCCTTCCAAACATCTCATAAGACGTCTTCCGATATCTGTTGGGATATTCGTCCTCCCTTGGCATCCTTTTGGAACGTATGAAGGAAATGCCGGGTTTGCAAGTGCTTGAAAAACAGGAATGTATGTATCTGTGCTGCTGCACAAGAGCGTGGTCTCAAATTGCGCGTCCCCGGGACACATAATCGTTTTGCTTATACAGCGTAGATGATATATCGTCCCCGTAATATCAGCGGGTCTGTGGCCAAGTGCTGGCTCAGTGATGACGACGACATTCCCTTTGCTTGCTAGTTGAGAAGGCGTTGATTTCTACCGTACATACTCCAGAACGTGTGGAATTTGTAGCAGCCAGCCAACGGACAGGGAAAAACTTTAAATTTCAGCAACGAGAGACATCAATCTGTCCCTAGTGGTGTAGTGGCTAACATCGCTGTCTTTCACACAGCAGCCCAGGGTTCGATTCCCTGCTAGGGAGATGAATGGGAGTTTCTGAAGCTTTCTTTTTTACCGGCTTTCTGGGATTTCATATATTTCCCACATGTCACTATTCCTTGTCCTTTCACTGATCCCGAACGTTTTCCTGAGCCTTCATTGTGACACTGGCATCCAGAATGAGTCATCCAAGGTTTCGGAACATGGATTAACTATATTCCAATCAGTCCCCTGGGAAAGCCAAAAAAAAAAAAAAAAAAAAAAAAAAAAATAATGGATAAGAGTATTGAGGCGATGGAGAGGAAATAGACTTTATTTTCTTTATATATCCTTCAGAGTGGG